TACCTTCATTCATTCATTCATTCATTCATTCATTCATTCATTCATTCATGCATTTCATTCATGCATGCATACATGCATGCATGGATACCTCTGCATGCGACACACAGACACACAGACACACACGCACACACACACACATCTGCATGTATGTATATATTATACCTGGTCATACACATGTGCGAAAGCATCACGCAAACATGCTCATATGTATCTGCACAGAGTATAAGCACATGCAGACAGACCACTACTGCACACTGCAAACCCCAACCCCCCGATGCTGAACTGAATGGACTGCCTCGAGGATGGAAAAACTGGCTTTGCTGTTGCCTTTCCTCAGCTCGGGCTTGAACCAACCTCAGACCTAAACCCAAAACCGTTACCGTTAAACCCAAACCAAGACAGGGCTTTGAACCCAGTGGTTGGGAGTAAAAGCTTTTGCTCAAGCCAGAAGCACTTGCAAAGACAGGAGCCTACAAAGAAGTCCGACAGGTTCGGAGCATAAGTTCCTTGGGGAGATTCTTAAGAAGGGTCTATTCGAAGGGCTCCTACGAGGGCTTACTGTAGGGGCCTTCGGGTTCTAATAACTATGATAAGTATTGTTACTTGTTCAGGCTTCTGTATTCTGGACTTTGAAGTAACTAGGGAGACACAAGTATAGACTTGTATATCCTTAGTGGTTCCTGTAAGGAACAGGTACCAAAAAACACGTATGCAAGTAGGGTACTTCAGAACCCAGTGTTACCTCTCGATGGGACGAAGAAGGAGACTCCCTGGGAGAAAGCCGCGTGGTGTCCCATCGCAACATCTCATCCGACCCTTAAACGCTGCAGCAAAGCCGCAAACCGTGTCGACGGCATCAACGCCCTAAACCCCTAAACTCTATAGAACTCATAATCGCCTTCAGTAGGACCCCGTAAAGGAACCCGACCTAAACCCGAAACCCTAAAACCCTCAACCCCCACGCCCTTCAACCACCGACCAGCCGCCATCCTTCGCCACCCGCTTTTAAGCAAATCCACAGTTCCTTTCGCGGCTGGAGATAGGAAGTATCATTACCCCAAATCCTGAACATAAACCCTAAAGCGAAAGACCCTAAACCCTAAACCCCTGAACCTCAAACCCTAAACCCTAAACCCTAAACCCCAAACCCTAAACCCTAAACCCTAAACCCTAAACCCTAAACCCCTGATGTCCACTCAGCCAGCTCATAT